GCATTGTTTCGAAGCAATCCATCAGGAATTCATCTGAATCAGTGAACAGTTACTTGCTTTCGACAACTGTCTACGACACAGTGAATTTCAACTCATTCAGATGACGTGTCGCTGGTTACAATCGCTCTCCTTTGTCGATTCTTACTCATTTGTGGCAAAATTTGTCCACTCATTTCTACTTATCCTCAAATTTGTTGATAGGCGCGTTTACCATCTTACGAAGAATCCTTGATGCAGCCCATGTGCTTTCCTTCGATCCAAACACTGATCAGTTAGTTGTAATCAGCAATAAAAGTTGACGGATGTAGGTCGGTTAGAGGAACAAAAGGACTGCTTACTGTGAAAAATAAAAGCTAAGCATTGGCGATCTGTAATATTTGTTAAAGAATCAAAACTTAATGCGTCTAATTTCAGTTGTGAAGTATTAGCCATAAAGATTGGTTACTTAAAACAATACTTTTAGCTTTGTTCTTTTCAATTCACAGTACTCATTCTGCCACCGACATTCACATACTGGGTAGTTTTGATAAAATCAAAACGATTCAAGGTCATGCAAGTGACAAGTTGTTCACTCTAGGAAATGATCCTTGCCTTGATTTGACTCCTGTTTTTGACCGACAACGGATAGCTCTACTAAAACGGCAATTCTATGATACAATTCCGGTACTCCAGTTATGAAAACCTTGAACAAGTATTCATTAGGGGCTTAAAAGTCTTCCATGCCTCTCTACAGCTAAACCGTGAAATGTCTCTTCGCATTCGCTTACCCAAAGCAGTGCGGTACATGTTCTTCATGCCCATTTGCATTTCACGGCTGGAACATCAGATAAAAATATCACATTATAATCCTTGATCAGAACTCTTTTTTCACTCACTCCAAAGTTGAATATTTTCAGCTGATCAACGCTAGATATGAAAATGTGAGTGAATTTTAATTGAACTTAGTTTCCGGTCCACTGAGTACGGCGGATACAGTTTGGCTACCAGAACCAGCTTCAGTAAAGTATATTCGTTATATGAGACCCTAGTAGACACCATTTTTACCATGTGGAAATTGGCACTGTTCCCACAATGCAAACACCATCCTTCTATGTAGATGAAACGCATCAGAAATGGGGGAATCGTCAAAGCAAATATGTGAAAATGATAATTATAATGTGGGAATTGCCGAGGCAATTATTAAAGGTGGTTATTTTAAACTCTTTTCTCTGGTCACTGATTTCTCCTTGGTGATCATTCCTTACTAACAGTCGGATAGCTTTATGCTCGACGGTGGGACGCAAGTTTATGGCTATCATTGCATTTGATTCATTCTTCGCAGCTTGTCACCCATTCTGTCTGTCAATCACATTTACTAACGAGTGACGGACACAAGTATGTAGTCACACTTTTCCTCTATTTGCTTAATTTCTGATAGAGTTCTTGACAAATGAAATAAATCACATCCAGTGGCACAGGAGGAGTTTATGCTTGTTTTTTAATTTATATGGACCACGACACGAGCGTGATGAAACAAAAGGATATATCTCATGGTTTGCGATTCGGGGAAAAATACCAATATTGAATGAAGACGTCCAACATTTGACAACAGAAATCTATTGAGGAAAGTTATAAACCATCCAACATAGTAACAAAAAAAGAACCGAAAGATGTAGAACGCCAAACTGAATTATGAAAAACGAATCGAAATAACAACGATAGATCTCACGCTGACAAAAATTAAATTGAAACAGAAAAATTTTAATAAATCTAGGGGAAAATTCGTATTCAGACAATGCACTTATTTCTGTTTTGTGTTCTTAAAGTCAAAGTTTATTATTAGGAATATTTGAAAGTGGTTGTTCTTCTTGTCCCGTGGGGTTATTTGCACAACTTAATTGATTTACCGATCAAAGAGAAGTGCGGATTATCACAAAGTGCCACTGTTTCGTGCACAGACTGCTCCGGATTTCTAAATTTAAGATATGACAATGTCTAATCTAGTCAATGTTTGAAAGAATCAATCAATTTGAGGGCAAATAAAGATGCCCGCATTATTGTTGACAGGTTTGGAAGACCTCCTGAGGTGTCGGGCGACAAGGAATACAAACATCAAAGTAGGTGATCCGTGTCCTGCATTATTTGATACACCAAAATCAAGTCTTCTCAAATTAGGCGTTACTGTGTAGAGTAGAACCGCAATGATTCCAGTCTTTCCACATAAGTCTTAGGATGCAGCTATGCATTCCACGCTTGAATGATGCACTCGATCCGGGAGTGAATACCGATTACAAGCGGGGGAACAGTTTAGTTTCAAATTTGCCAAATACCTGCTATGGAACACCAGTATGTCTTACAGTTGAGGAATACCACCGGGAGCGGTTTATAGAACGACTTATTATCTTGAAGAATGACACCAAGATCCTTATTTTTGAGGCATATGAATATTGTTTATAGTCTAGGAAGTACGAGTACCGAGCAGGTTGGCGAGGGGATTCGTCCGTTTAGGCAAATCAATTTCTATACCAATCGACGATTGATAAACCTCTCCAAGTATTGTCACATCTTTCCATATTTTTGCATCGTCGGCATACATAACAAGTCAAAATCAAAGTTTATTTTGGGAATTACTTACAACATCATGCGTATCTTGCCCCGATAGGATACTTACACAACTGAATCGTTTCACAGCGAAAAGAATCACCTACAGCTCTAGTTAGCAGATTATAGAGGATGTAGGCTTCAATGAATATGCGTGTGCTTTTATTGTGTACGAATATGAGGTGTACAAAGGTTTAATCGAGTCTCCACTTGAAAGATTCAATATTTGGAGCACAATTGACATGGGATGGAAGGGTGTTCCAAGTACTGCATACTGTGACTGCAGAAGATTGCACCAGCATTCCACTTCACACTTTGGAATCAGTAACTAGAAACGGTGGCCTCTAAGGTGTGCGTTGTTCGATAACATGAGCAGCTGCTGACATGGATGCTGTGGGTTCTGCATTATTTGATAAGTCAAAATTACCCAACCATCTTGGTGGCCATCCCTTTTATTCGCTAAAGCATCTTGCGATCCCGTTGCAACCATGGGCTCCAAGATTGGATTGCTTACTTTGTGTACGGTCAAATGACACTGATAACAAACGTGGGAGCAGTGCTGATTCAAACCAAACACTAATCCTTGTCAAACTCGTGCAACCTTAAGTGTATACTTCATTCAACTGGTGGAGGGAACCAAATAATTAGACACAATTACACATCAGGTACCTCAATCGGGGTATTGATAATTAATTTGAGTGAAAGTTGAAACTTTAGGTTCTGTTAAAAGGAATACTTTTGCGTGCGTTTGATTGATATCCCTGCAGACAGACCTGGACTCTTTGATGCACTGGTCGCGAGTGTGGGATTTACCCATCAATCCTACAAAATGTCATTACATGTCCATTGGCCGGCAGCCCAGTCCAAGAGTGTACCACCTTATGGACACTCCCTTACTGGCGTCCGTATGCGAACGGGATCTCGGAGTGCTGGTTTTCAGGTCACTAAAAACCAAGGAGCAGACTGACAACGCTTGCG